TTTACACAAGAGGATCAGGAAGCTCAACTGACTACTGGCCCCAGGTCACATAGCAACCAGATCCCATTTGGAACCAAGAATTTTCTCTTCCGGCATACGACACAGACTGAAACTTTCCCTCACTCAGTGACATTTTAAATTAAACACAGGATACCTGCCACATCCTTCAAGGAGACATACTTACATTTCATGATTTTTTAGAAAAGTATTTCTAACCAGAAGCTTGTGCTGAGCTGCAGCTGAGTGAGGGCAAAGACTACAGTGGCCGACGTGGCACCCGGCTCAGTGATTCGAGGGCCGGCACATTTAGCGTTTTCACGTCTCTGAAATTGGGATATAACTTGAAATCAATCACATGTCAAAGTGGAATTAGAAACACTTTTTTCCTGAGCAGTAGATCAATCATAATGCAGCATACAATTAATTGATGACCTCTTAGATTCAATGAAATGTGGTGAAATATAGTTCTAGTGGCCAAAACGTATTTGTCAAATGAATAAATGTGTTGAGCACTATGCTGAGGTTGTACACGTGTCATCTCATTTACCACTCCCCCAAGTCCTCCTATGAAGGAGGCATTGTTATTTCCATTTTACAGATTGGAAAACTAGAACCAAGAGCAGTTAAGACACTTGCCCAAGATCACACAGTGATGGTGGAGACAGAATGGACATGCAGCTCTGTGAGGGCATAGTCTCTGCTGTAACCACTGAGAAATATGGTCTTCCCAGGAGAATGCAATTTCCTTGTCACCAAGTGGGGTGACAAAGCATCCTGGTTTGCCCTGGTCTGAGGGGTTTCCCAGAACAAGGTACTTTCAGTGTTAAAACTAGGAAAGCCGCTGATGAACCAGGAGGGTTGGTCACCCTATCACCACTCCTTCTGCCCCTCTGCCTGCTCCCTCCACGTGGCCTCCACCTCCGCAGGGCCACCCCCTAACAGGCCTCACACCCAGCTCCTGGGCCCCGAGGCCCGGCAGGGATTCCCAGGACTTGAGTCCTCTCTGAATGAGCAGCCCCACCACTCTTCAGCACAGAAGCTGCACACATTCCTCCTTCCCTGAGTGTCTGCCACCAACGGGTGCCAGATCCAGATGTTCACTGGACCTGCAGGGCTGTTCCCACAGCTGATGGGACATCTTGCCAGGTTCTTACAGCTTCATTGAAATTATGTACCAGGCTGTGGCTCCTTAATTCCTATTTCATGCTGCTATGTGGATTTGACAAGAGGCTCCATGTTTTGGGATGCTGGGGTGCTGCTAATATTAGCACATTAGCACTCACACGGAAAGGACCACTCCTGTGAGAACCTTCCCAGCTCCGACTGAGGCTGTGGGAATCCAGACAAATCCTATGTTTGTTCAGAAGACCAAGTTGACATTGGGCAGTGCTTCTCAGTGGGATCCCCAACCCAGGGCTCTTATTGCAATGCAGATTCCTGGGCCTTGGTCCAAACTTGGTAAATCAATCTCCAGGAAGGGAGCCCAGACATCTACATCTTACATAAACTCCCCGGGTGGTTCTAATACACGCCAGAGACTATGAACCACAGCTGAGGATGGTTTCAGAACATCGCATGAACCCTGCCTCACGTCTCACCTCTCTCCAGACCATCCTGCAGCTGTGCCCCATTCAGGCGGGTCCACACCTACCTGACCCTGGACCCCAGGCCCTTGTCCTGGGCCTTCCACTGCTGCCCCACAGCTGGACAGGAGCATACAATAGCTCCATTCCCACTCAGGGAGCGACTGCTGCAGCCCCTGGGAAGAGCCCGTGGTCACAGTACCAGTGCCCACAGGGCAGCTACACAGAGCGGGGAGTGCATTTACTTACAACACGAAGGCACCTGATATGCCTCTCTCCTGACAGCTTCACCATGAACTGGGCTCCCCACCCACTCTATCCCAGCCACACCTACCTCTGCCCACCACGTCCCCCACTCCTCACCTGGAACACTCCCAGGGCTCCCTGAATTCAGGTCATCACAGACTCCCTTGTGTTCCTTGCACGGTTTATATGAGTAAAAGCTTCTTACAGAAGGATATGTCACCCCAACCTGAACATAACCCCACAAATACAGAGACGAGGTCTGGATGTTGCCCTCTGCTACAACCCCAGTGCTTAGTGCAGAGCTTGGCACATTGTAGGAACCTAATAAATAGTTGAATAAATGAACATACAAATAAGTCTCCACATGATCCTATGAAGCAAAAACTATTATTATCCTCATTTTTACAGCTGAGTAACTGAGGCACAGAGAGGTTAAGGAATTTGCTCACACAGCTCAGCCACTAAGTGACAGAACAGAACCAGAACACACCCTGCAGCCCCCAGACCCCCTCGCTCTCATCCAGCCGTGCTCCTGCTGCCTCTGGAAGATCTCAGGAGTAGGCAGACCTGGGTCTAGTTTGGCAGCTGGTTTGCCTCCTGCCCTGGGACGGGGCAATGTCTTCCTGTAAAGTCGCTCTCCTGTTCTTGTTCCTAGACTTCCATTTCTGCTTCTCTTTCTCTCTTTTCTCCCCTCTCTCCCTTCTCAGACCTCCCCTGCCCACTGTGTCCACAGCCTGATAGAGTCACAAAGACCTGGTGAGTGGGGAACTTTTCAGAATAAAGGCAGAGTCAACAGAAAGAACCCAGCATCACTCCCAGATGATTCGCTAGCCCAGGTGACTCAGGGAAACAAAGGAAAATAAGCATCTAAAAGAATTGGTGCTTTTTGTTTTTAAAGTCTGTCTTCAATATGAAAGAAAAATAGAGAAAAAATATTTTTTAAAGCTTCTGAAGAGGAAGAAAATGAATATTTGGAAAACTTGGAGAAAATAATAATGATAATTGGAAACTGGCTTCCACCCTTTATAGCAAATCCTGATGAGATGCATCCTGAAGTGTAAACAGATTTGAACAATAAACTTACTGAACCATACACAATTATTTCTGGAGAGAAATGGATGAGTGGTTGGTTAGACAAATGGAAGAGGTGTGAATGATTCTTAACACTCTGATCTGGCAAAATGGTCCTTGGAAATTAATGGAACAAAAAATTATACCGGGGAAGAGAAGCATCATCAAGAGAAAGCACTAAACATTGGAACCATGAAATGAAAATGCATTCTTATGAATAAGAGAATTAGTGAAATGAATTTAAGAAAAGGTCAAGTTGGGAAGGATATCAGATAGGCTGTGGCTCCACAAAGCCCCTAAATTAGCTGTGGCATTTGAAGCACAGGACTTTGGAAGTACAAAGTCTCTGAGAAATCATTCATTCCACGCCCTTTATCTACAGAGGAAGAACATCAGGTCCAGAAAGGGTGAGTGACTTGCCCAAGATCACACAGCTAGGTGGGAGTCAGTCCATAGCTGTATTAATGCCACCCATGGACCAAAGATCATGCTTCCATCCACTCTGGGCTGTTTTTAGTGATGAGTGCTATACTTTAGAGGACACTGAGAGGCAGGAGACAGGTCCAGAGGAGTTGGCTCAAGTGTCTCCATGCAGAGAACACACTTTCTAGAGGCAGGGAGACCTGGGTTCAAATTCGGCTCTATCACTTACCAGTTGGGCCCTTACAGGTCACTCCACCTTCCTGAGCCTCAGTCTCTTCATCAGGAAAATGGGGCCAATGTTTCCTACTTCATAGGATGAAAAGAAATATCCCAGGTAAAGCACCTAGAACATAGTAGAAACTCAGTAAATGGTGCTATATCTTAGACATGACCAGAATTAATTGCCTTGAAATTCTAAAGTTACCCAAAAAGAAAAGAAAAAAAAAAAAATGGCAGCAACAGAGGGAAAACAAAACATCACGACAGAATGAGAGGTACATGACCAGAATTAATTGCCTTGAAATTCTAAAGTTACCCAAAAAGAAAAGAAAAAAAAAATGGCAGCAACAGAGGGAAAACAAAACATCACGACAGAATGAGAGGTCCTAATAGAACGAAATCAAGAATGAAGGTCATCCAAAAACTTATCCTTCCTCAGAGAAGTCAAATGACCCAGGATAGCAGAAAAAAATACACTCAGATATGGGTGCAGCTGGGGATGTGCTGGCATCTATTTTCCAGCTTGGTTCTCGAGCTGCTCTTGAGGATTAGCTGCCTTTCCCCAGGTCATACCCCTGGGAGTCTTGAGGCAAATTCCCTCTATAGAACAATCCCCTCACAAGCGGTGGTGCCTACTCTGCGAGGGAGTGGGGTTCTGTGTCAGGCCCCACACTTGTCCAAGAACAGGGGCAAGAAGGGTCCTGGTGGGGAGGCTCCACTTCCCACCACAAGAGGGCACCATGGAGGCACTGGGCTGTCTGGCTAGAACACACGGTTTTGTGGACATCAAGTTTGGTGATATCCACGGGGCTGCTGAGGTCTGCAGGGCCCTGAGGTGACTGCTCAGCAGGGCCCCTGAGCACTCCTACTTGCAAGGGAAATGAGGAGAGTGGCCTGGTCAAGAACTAATTCTGGTTCTATTCCTATTAGAAGCCAAAGTGTATTTAGCTGGAATTATTTTCACAAAATAATACTATGAACAGCTTAATAGTTTATTGAGCAATAAATATAGGCATGACCTGGGATTCGCCCAACCAGCAAATCAGACAGGCTCAGGTGCCACATTCCACACTAAGTCCATGTGATCACACTTCTCTAGCTCCTTCACATTAAGCTGCCTGTTTTAACTGAATTAACTAAACAACAATGACACTGGTTCAAATTCTGCCATGTTTATGATGCCTTCCCAATACCCCCATCAAATTCAACACCTCCCTCCTCTAACTCCCACAGCTCTATGTTAACCACTGTCTTTCTGGAATTTAAGACACGGCTACATGTCAAGTGGCAGCAACTGAGGTCAGGGGCCACCTTTTTTTTTTTTAATCCCTAGTGTGGTTAGCAGCACCTAGCTGGGTACCTGGCACATGGCAGGGCACAGAAGCATTGTTGGAATTAAATCACATTAAATAGTTGTGGGAAATATGGCATTCAGCCAAATAAACTCAGAGACCAAAGTTTCCAACAGTGATTTTATTGGTTTTGCATCCCTATTCTTCCTAGGGAAACCCAAGGTAGTTTATACCAAAAGACTACAGTAAAGGGTATTGGGTGCTGTGTTCAGTCATGGGTTTGGCAGTGCCTGGAGGGCTGGCCTAAGGGACAAGAAGGCTTTCCTTTGGTGATGGATGGAGCCAGGCTCAAACTCCAGCTCTGCTTCTTACTACATTGGGCTTCAATTTCCTCACCTGTAACAAAAAGATAATAGCATTTACTTTGCAGGATTGCAGTGGAATTTAAATTTGACAGTGTTCAGAATACATGGCTCATAGTAGGCCAGTAAATACAGTAGTTTTATTCTCCTTTCATGGTTTACAGAGGATGGTGGGATAGAAAAGGGCTTAGGCTTCAGGACTAGGCTGACCTGGGCTATATTTGAAATCCCTCATCTCCACACACCTTATGTGAGTCTGGGCAAGTTATTTAATATCTCCTGGCCTCTGCTTTCTCAGCTGTAGAATGGGAATAACTTTACGTTGTTTGGGGAATGTTTAAATCAGATTAGTAAAATGCTGAGAATATTGTCTTTTACTTATTCAGTTCTAAACAAGTGGGCACTATTCCTATGCTCTTTCCTAGTCTGGGGCAAGGCATCTACCAGTGTCAGTGTCGTGCTTTGTGCTGGACTCTGTGGATTTGAGGTCTTGGCTCAGATGGCCTGCCAAAACCAAGGGGCAGATGATCTGGCTCAAGGCGGAAAGCCGCCTCTGGCCTGGTCAGCACCACGGACAGCTCCACCGGCACTGTTGACTGGGTGCGGAGATGCCCCGGAGATTCACAGCCCCATAGCTGTATACTTTCCAGGGATATCCAGCACAGATAACTTTAAAGAAATCAATATCCTGGCTCTCAACTGCCACATGATTTTTTTCCTAAAAGTGATCCACCCGTGGTGGAAGCATCATGCAGTTTTCCTTTCCCACTTTCCTTCTATAATGCCCCTTCTACAAAGAAATTCATACATCTTTTTCACCCTGAATCTTATTATTGTGCATTGTTCTGTTGAGTCAAAACTTATGCGATCAAATAAAGGGACAATTTGACAAGCGGCTTTCTCAATGTCTCTTTTAACCAAGGGACTACAACCACCACTCGCCAAGTTCAGGGCCACCACATACAGTCATCCAGTTTTTCCACTGAAAAATACCAGGGGTTGCCATTTACATCGTAGTCTGTGTGAATGGCTCTCTCTGGAGTTTGGCAGTGCACAGCCTGTGTGGCTTCACGAAGCAGCCCTGCCCTGTCCACCTCATTCAGAGAAACATTTCCAATAAAATTTAACTGTTTAATAATTATTTATCAAAATTTGCAGTACATTGACATTTTTTATCAAGTTTGTATTACTAATAGTTGAAATGATAACTAAATCCAGAAGAAATTTTTGAAATATTTAGAGGCTTATGTTCACAAGAAATAAAAAATTCAATTTATATACATCTTTTTCTTGTAGAGAAGTATGATAGGAAAATCAATAAAAGACTTTCAAGCATAAAAATACATTACATTAGGATAAAATTCTGTGGGAGAAGTGAATTGGAAATACAATTTCATACTATTAAATAAGAGCTCATTCATGTATTTTTTTAAAAGGATGGTTGTGGGTATCAAATTGCTGTGATATTTGTATTTTATGGGATACATTTAAAACAGCAATGTAAGACTTCTTTTTTATAATGTCTATATTTATAATACACGAGGCACTACATTCATTTCAATTACTTAAAATAGTTATAAAATATTCTAGGTGTCAACTTTTAAAATGTTCAAGAAGGGACATAAATTTTCTTTTTTTTTTTTTTTTGTGACCGGTGTCGCCTGCACTGCGAGCGCACTGGCCATCCCTATATAGGATCCGAACCCGCGGCGGGAGTGCCGCTGCGCACCCAAGCGCCGCACTCTCCCGAGTGCGCCACTGGGCCGGCCCGGGACATAAATTTTCAAAATTATTTTGGGCAGCATTGAGCAAAAATGGTTGATCCCACTGATGTTGTCAGTCCCATATTAGTCACCTGTTTGCCCCAGCAAGTGAGCGCATCCTCTGCACAGAAGAATACATATTCCCCCTTGGGAGCATTTGTTCTTTGTTTCTCTTTAGGTCAAGCTCAGGCTCAGGGGTAGGGACATTGCCAAATGGGAAGGATGATCTTGACTACCAGACGGGATTTGCCTGGTTGTCTGCTGTCACTCCTTTTCTTGCCGATGAACTTGGGTTTTCTTCTGTGTGATCCTGGGCAAGTGTTCACCTCCTTTAGGGCCCCAGCAATCTGTCAGGCAGATGAAGGGGCTCAATCAGACCTTTTCCCACACAGACCCTAGGAGATCCTCGTGGTGGTTTGGGACTCATTTGTCCTCCACCCAGGCTCCCTTACTGTGTGTCTGACAGCGTGCCTGGTACATAGTAGGCCTACAGTAAATATGCCTAAAAGTGTGACAACCCCAAGTACAGAGAGATCTGCCTTTCCCCAATAGAAACATTCCAAACAAAGCTTTTGGGACTGACTAGTTAGATCGGTTGGTTAGAGCGCAGCTTTATAACACCAGGGTCACAGGTTCGGATCCCCAAACCAGACAGCTGCCAAGACAAAAGAACAAACAAAACAAAGCTTCTACCAACTTGCATGTATAAACTTCTAAGAATATAGATGAGATCATCAAAGGTCTCCTTATAACATTTAATTAATATAAATTTTTAGTTATATTTACAGTCATTTATATCAAATATATTAATAAACCAATGTAGTAATTATAAGTTAATGTTAATTATAATTGAAAATATTAATATAAAGTCTTATACTAATTACAGGTATATTTAGAAACATTGCTTTTTTTTCCATGTTCACATTTGATTCATGAACAAATTGCATTCTCTCTTCACATACATCTTTGACATTGATCTCTTTGTCATCACTAGAACCACTTCTCTAGTCATCTAACACAGCTCTCCAGAATGAATCATCTCTACTTCCATCTAAGTCATTTAAGATAGAGGACGTTTTACATCCGTAGATGATGCTGTCACTGGAAATTATACTCCTAGCCCCAAGTATCTGCAAACTAACCACTTAGTGTATTTTTAAAGAGATCTTTAAAAGGCTTGTTTACAACATTCAACTCTTGCAATTATAACAAAAAATGACTAAATCTGTGCTTAGTGTTTTTGTCTCCATTTCTGCTCCAGTAAGTGACCTTTATAAGCATTTGAAACATAGCATTGATTGAAGTTATTTTGGACTAGTATGTCATTCCCAAATAGTGCTTGTGGGTCAAAATGAAGTAATTGAGAGTAAACCCTGTAAAATGAGAGATGTAGTAAAAGACTTGAATAGAAGGTATATCTCTCTTTTCTGAGAGATAAGGGGTGAGTGGATAAACAGTTGGATGTTGGAGTCTTTGGTCAAATTCAAGACCTTTTCAGGTTGGGACTCAGTGAGGGCTGCTCTCCAGGGCCCTGAGTGTCCTTCATTGGAACCCCCCTGAGTGACCCCCCAGCACACTGGGTTCCAGTTTGGGCAGAGGGAGGCCAATCGCAAGAGCTGTAATCGCTGCCCAGACACAAGCCAGGGAAAGGAAGCCATGTTTACCAGGTACCACCTCTGTACAAACAGCACACTGGAGACTTCCCTTCTGTACCCTGCTAAGTCTCCCAGCCAGGCTGTGAGCTGGGTGTTTATCCACATTTAGCCAGGAGAAAACCAAAGATCTAGGCATTTTTCGACCACATTTATAGAGACATGAAAACTTGACCAATAATTAATCTCCCAAATGGTTACAAACTTCTGTCCAATGGCTCAGAGCTGGCTTTGGAGTTAGACATCCTGGGTTTAAATCCTTGTTCTTCCACTTAGAAGACATATGGTCAGTACCAAGCCATTTAATCTTTCTGGGCTTCATTTTTCTTACCTATAAAATGGGGCGATAATGCCTACCTTATAGGGTTGTCATGAGGATTAAGGTAATGGCACGTAGCCCAGAACCTGGTACACCATAAGCACTGCCAGCAGAAACCTGGAGCCACCTGACTCAAGCTCTGAAAGCAGAAAACAGCATAAAAAGAGAGCCAGTTGCTCCTTGGGAGGACACAGCTTTGCCCTGGACATTGAATGACCACACTGTTTATCTTAGCACATGTGAGGTAAGAAAAAAGAAGGGCTTTAATAACTAAACTGGCCACTCACCCAGACACAGTACCAGTGACTTTAGTAGGGGTCTCAGTATGTAACAAACATCTTAAAAATAATGTTTGTGGTTTGTTTACCTTATTAGAAAAATGATACAGTTCATTTTACAGAGGAGCAAAAAGAAAAATACAATGAACTCTAATTCCCAGGGACAACTTCAGTTATTATTTGGAATACATCCTTCTAATTCTTTTTTTGTTTGTTGTTGTTTGGTTGCCTGATTTTCCTCTTTTAATTACAAACATAGAATCATATTTTCTATATTATTTTGTAACTTGCTTTTCTGACTTAACACTCCATAAACATCTTTGTATAGTATTAACTATTATTTCACATTATTGTAATGATTACATAATGTTCTACTGAGTGGTTATGCCATGCTTTTTAAAAAAAACCAATCCCTCTTTTTGGAGGCTTTTGAGTTATATCTAATTTTTCCCATTACCAATAAGGCCTCTTAGAATTTTATGGTGATTAAAGCACTTGCTGCTATCATTTTAGATATTCTCTTACCTTGGGAGAACAATTCAATGATCATTCTCTCCATTTGACAGATGATAAAACTGAGGTTCACAAAGAAAAAGTGGCTTGTCCAAGGTCACTCAGTGTATTAGTCCGTTTTGTGTTACTATAACAGAATTACCTGTGATTGGGTAATTTATAAAGTAGAGAGGTTTATTTGGCTTATGATTCTGGGACAGCTGCGTCTGGCACGGGCCTCAGGCTGCTTCTACTCATGGCGGAAAGTGGCAGGGAGCCGGCGGGTACGAGCAGATCACATGGTGAGAGGAAGCAAGAGAGAGAGAGAGAGAGGAGGTGCCAGGGTCCTATAAACAATCAAGTCCCACAGGAACTAACAAAGCTAGAACTCACTCACTCCCCCGCCTCCCCCAGGGAGAGCATTAATCCATTCATGAGGGACCCGCCCGCATGACTCAATCAGTTTCCAGCACTGCCACATTGGGGATCAAATTTCCACATGAGTTTTGGAGGGGACAACGCATCCAAACTCCATCATTCTGCCCCTGGCCCCCCAAAACTCATGTTCCTCTCACATACAAAATACAATCATTCTATCCCAAGAGTCCCAAAAGTCTTAGCTTGCTCCAGCACCACCTTAAAAGTCCAAAGTCTCATCTGAGACCAAAGCAAAAGTCCTTCCAGCTGTGAACCTGAAAAACAAAACCAAATTTATCTACTGCCAAGACACAATGGTGGAACAGGCATTGGGTATACATTCCCATTCCAAAAGGGAGGAATAGGACAGAAGAAAGGAAAAACAGGCCCCAAACAAGTCCAAAACCCAGCAGGGCAGACATTATGTCTTAAAGCTCCAAAATAATGTTCTTTGGCTCAAGGTCCTGCATCTTGGTCACAATTGGGCATCTGGGCCCCCAAAGCATCAGGCAGCCTCATTCCTACAGCTCTGCCAGGCACAGCCCAGTGGGCTATGCTGGTGCCTGTGGCTTTTCCAAGTCTGCGTTGCATGTTACCAGTGGCCCCGAAGTTCTGGGGTCCTGGTGGCAGCCCTGCTGCATTGGCTGTACTAGACATTTCCCTTGTGGGGTTCTCTGTGGGGGCTCTGACCCCACTTTCCTGCTTCGCATTGCTCTAGTAGATGGTCTCTGTGGTGGTTCTGCCCCTGCGGACCCACAGGCTTTTCCATACATCCTCTGGAATCTGGGTGGAGGCTGCCACACCTCCACTGCTCTCGTGTCCTGCCGGCCTGCCAACTTAACACAACGTGGACACCACTGAGATTTTGGGCCTCTACTCTCCAGGGCTGCTGCATGAACCACACTTGGGGCCGCTCCAGCTGGAGCAGCTGGGATGCAGGGACAGGATCCCGAGGGCAGCTGTGCCCCAGGTCTGTCCTCCAGGATAACTCAGCCCTTCTAGGCCTCAGGGCCTGTGATGGGTGGGGCACCCTTCCTGACTTCTCAAATGCCTTTAGGGCATTTTTTCCATTTTCCTGGTTCTTAGCATCTGGCTGCCTAACCTCCAAGATAATGTCTTTAGCAACCAGTTTATCTGCTTCACCTGCATTGTTCCCTGGCTCTCTGCTCCTTTACTGCATGGCCAGGCTGCAAATTTTCCAAACCTTTACACTCTGCTTCCCTTTTGAATTCTGGCTTTACATCATGATTTTGCCGCCATAAGTCAGAGTAGGCTCTTAAAAGCATCCATGCAGCTTCCTTAATGCTTTGCTGCTTAGAAATTCCTTTGGCCAGGGCCGGCCCGGTGGCGCACTGCTACAGTGTGCCACTTGGGAGTGCGGTGGCGCTCCCGCCGAGGGTTCGGATCCCACATACAGACCGGTTCCCACTCACTGGCTGAGCAAGATGCGTGCGCAACACCGAGGTTTGCGATCCCGTTGCCAGTCCCGGTCCGGTACGGGTGCGACACTGAGGGTTGCGATCCGTTGCCAGACACGAAAAAAGACAAAAAAAAAAAAAAAGAAAGAAATTCAAGACAAAAAAAAAAAAAAAAAAAAAAATTCCTTTGGCCAAATGCTCTGGTTCACAACTCTTAAGTTCCAACTTCCACAAAGTCCAAGGGCATGGACGTCATGCAGCCAGGTTCCTTGCTGTGGTGTAGCAAGGGTTATCTTTTGACCAATTCCCGATAAGTTCCTCATTTCTATCTGAGACCTCATCGTCCGCATGGCCTTTACTGTCCACATTTCTATCAGGATTCTGCTCGTCACCACATGAGTCTCTAAGACATCCCAAACTTTCCCTCATCTTTTTCTCTTCTTCTTAGTCCTCCAAACTCCGCCAACCTTTGCCCATTACCCAGTTCCAAGCTGCATCCACATTTTCAACTATCTGTATAGCAACACCCCACTCCTTGGTACCAATTTTCTGTACTAGTCCGTTTGTGTTGCTAAGAATTACCTGAGACTGGGTAATTTATAAAGAAGAGAGGTTTATTTGGCTTATGATTCTGGGACAGCTGTGTCTGGCATGT